CTGCCCCTGCCCTACCCCCGTCCTTCCCCCTTCCCTGCCCCTGCCCCACCTGTCCCTGCTCCTGCTCCTGCCCCTGTCCTCCCCCGCCCTGCCCCGTCACCTCTCCACACCAGCAGCATTCCCATGGCGTGGTTTTCCTGAGTCCACTTGCCCTCAGGGGCAGTGAAGGTCGGTACAGATGGCACAGGAAGGTAGACTCCGCGGCCTGCCCCTCGTTAGGGAGTCAGGAGGCCAGAGGGCGATGCTGACACGCAGCTCTCCACGGGCCCCAGACGCCCCTCCCTGGGTGACGGCTGGGCCAGGATGCGTCTCTCAGGGGCGGGAGACGGTGGGTGACCAGCACCCCGTCCCCCCAGTATCACACCTGCAGCTGCGTCCTGGCTTTGGTCGCCTGTTCCGTCTTCCTGAGGATGAGCCTGGAGCTGAAGGTGGTGCTGCTGACGGCGGCCTTGGTGGCCTACCTGCTGCTCTTCCACCTCTCCCTGTGTGCGCAGTGGGACTGCTGCGGCCCCGGCCTGCGCAACCACACCGAGACCAACGCCACCCTCAGGTGGGGCCCGGCCCACTGCCCGTGGTGACGGTGGCCCATTGTCTCCCCTTTGTTTCCGTGGCATTTCAGACTGAGCCCGTCGGGTGGGCACCGGCGGGGTCGGCGTGGTTTCCTTCACAGGGAGTCGTGGGCTCCAGGTCTGCGCGCTCCGAGCTGAGTGGCTGGCCGGTTCTCTGGGGAGCGTCCCTGGTCTCACGGGCCACCTGGGAGGTCCTGTGTGCAGGCTAGTCCGGGGTGGGGAGGGGGCTTCAGCTGGAGTTCTAGAAAGAGCACTGTGTCTGCTCTACTCCCAGGCAGGTGGGTGGCACCTATGGCCCAGGGAGCAGGTGTGTGCGTGGCCCTGACAGGTGGTGCGCTGTGGCCCAGGGGGCAGGTGTGTGCGTGGCCCTGACAGGTGGTGCGCTGTGGCCCAGGGGGCAGGTGTGTGCGTGGTCCTGGGGCTCTGGCCTAATTGGGTTGAGAAGAGGGCCTGACTCCCCTTGGACTAGAGGCTGGGACCGGGGGCCCAGGACAGGCTGCCCCTGCGGGTTGCCTGGCACCTGCACACGTGCCAGGGCCCTCGTCCGCCCCACCAGGCCCTCCGGAGCTGGCGCCTCCTGCCCCCTCGCGGCCCGGGCTTCCTGTTCAGACCGTGTGTGGCCATTCCTTGTCATCCGGGCCTGAGCTCAGATGTCCCCTCAGGGCGGCCGACCTCTGACCTGCACCCCTTTTCTCCTTTGTCCATGGTCTGCGCCAGGCGACCGGTCTCGGTGGCTCCTCCCGGGTGGCACTGGGGGAGTCTGGGCCCCATGCCCATGTTTGGGGGTGAGAGCTGGAAGGGACCCTGCCTCTCCCTTCACTCCCTCAGCTCCCCCGCCTGCTCCTGGTCGTATCTGAAGACCATGATCAGCTTCTACCTGGTTCTGTTCTACGCCACCCTCATCTTGCTCTCCCGACAGGTGAGCAGGCGGCCGCTGCCGCCTCCCAGCTCAGCCGCCGACCTGCCCTCCTTGGGAAGGGCTGGGCGGGCTGGGCCGCCTCAGGCTGGGGGCAGATGGTCCTGGGGGGAGCCCTGTCGGGGACCCGAGTGACCCCTGGGTCACGCGGGTGAGGCGTTCACCACGGTCACAGGGTGGACCCTGCTGCTGGGTGGCAGGTCCCCGCTCACGGGGCCAGGACTCCGTCCGTCTGCAGATCGACTATTACTGCCGCCTGGACTGTCTGTGGAAGAAGAAGTTCAAGAAGGAGCACGAGGAGTTTGAGACCATGGAGAGCGTGAACCGCCTGCTGCTGGAGAACGTGCTGCCGGCCCACGTGGCCGCCCACTTCATCGGGGACAAGCTGAACGAGGTGCGGCCGGGGGGCGGCCGTCGCTCCCGGGGGAGGGCTGAGCGCCGCCACGTGCTTCCTGTGGTCCGGGCCTCACGGTGGGGCCTGTGGACGGTGGGAGCTGCTCGCGCAGGGACACGGGCGTGGGCGCCGACCTGGGCGCCTCCCTCCCGGGCTGTGGCCCACGGTGCCTGCCGGGCAGGATGTGGCGTGTGACCGACAGTGACGAGCGCGGGTGCCACCAGCTCCATGCCGTCGGGTCAGAGACGGAGTGTCTCCTGACTGAGACCGTTACTCAGGGGGCTCGGGACCCCGCTCTGCGGACCCAGGGCATTTAAGAGCAAAAATCAGCCCGAGCCTGACTCTTTCCGACCACCTGACAGAAACTCCCGTTTTTATTTTTTAAAAATCTGTGTATTGATTTTAGAGAGAGGGGTAGGGGGAGGGAGAGCCCCCTACTGTGGATCAGGCCAGCGTCCAGCTCCTCCGGCTCCAAGGGCTGGGAGGTGGCCACAGGCCCACTTCTCCCCCCAGGACTGGTACCATCAGTCCTACGACTGCGTCTGCGTCATGTTTGCCTCGGTGCCCGAGTTCAAAGTGTTCTACACGGAGTGCGACGTCAACAAGGAGGGGCTGGAGTGCCTGCGCCTGCTCAACGAGATCATCGCCGACTTTGATGAGGTGGGCCCCGCCAGGGCGGGCGGCAGGGGCACATGCCCACCTACAACGTACCAGCACTCGGAGAGGGCACATGACACATCATAGCCCTTTCCTCGCTGCACTCAAGGGTTTGGGTCCTCTCTGGCCAGCAGCTGGCTCTGGTTAGAGGCAGGCCCTGTGGAGGAATCCCCGCCCGCCCCCGCGCTCGGCCTGGGTCGGTCAGGCCTGCCTGGGAGCTGGGGACAGAACCAGCATCCCTGTGGCAGAGCTGGCTCCCTAGCAAGACCAGAGGCCAGGCAAGCACAGACAGGAGCAGGGAGAGAACGCCCTGGTCCACAGGAGCGAGCGGGCGGGCGAGCCCAGGGTGAGAAAGGGCTTCGTCAGAAAGGCCAGGGCTGGGTGGGAGCCGGCCTGAGACCTGGGACAGGCCGCCGCAGCTGCCCCAGCCCTGCCCTCTGTCCGCAGCTGCTGCTGAAGCCCAAGTTCAGCAGCGTGGAGAAGATCAAGACCATTGGCAGCACCTACATGGCAGCTGCGGGGCTCAGTGTGCCCTCTGGGCATGAGAACCAGGTACGCAGCGTCTGGTGGCCTCTGGCCCAGCCCCACGAGGTGAAATTCCAGGCCCAGACCTGCCACCTAAAGGGGGCACCTCCACGCCCTGACCCAGGAGGGAGGGTGGTGAGGGGCAACTCCAGGGCCCTTTGCTGAAGCCCCTGCCCCATCTCTGCCCGCCGACGGCCCCTCCCGTGGGCCTCATGCCCACACAGTGCAGATCAGGGCGGCTGGCGCATCCATCGACCCGTCGAGGCGGGAAGACGGGGTGTGGCCGGGCCTGACGGCGCTGTCCCCAGGACCTGGAGCGACAGCACGCCCACATTGGCATCATGGTGGAGTTCAGCATGGCCCTGATGAGCAAGCTGGACGGCATCAACCGGCACTCCTTCAACGCCTTCCGCCTCCGCGTCGGTGAGGCCCCGCAGGCCCCGTCCTCGCCCGCCTCCTGGGAAGGGTTCTGGAGGGCCCTGACTTTCCGACCCCAGCAGCTGGCACACCACAGACATGATTCCCTTTGAGATGACACATCCCCACAGACAGCGGGGAACCCCAGGTCACAGCTGTAAACAGCTGTGACAGCTGCTGACAACAGGTTCCTGGCCGGATGGCCACTGTGAGCCACAGGCGGTGCTCAGAGCCGCTGGGAAGAGTTAGCAGGTGCAGGACGAGTGCCCCACTCGGGCGCTGCGGGTGCCTGGGAAGCACCAACCCAGGCCTCCGGCTCAGGCCTGTTCCGAGGGGCTGTCTGTGGTTGGTGGGGGTTCTCTAGCCTCAATGACCTGCAACGGCCAACGTCCTCTCCAGGCATAAACCACGGGCCTGTGATCGCTGGAGTGATCGGGGCGCGGAAGCCGCAGTACGACATCTGGGGAAACACGGTCAACGTTGCCAGCAGAATGGAGAGCACTGGAGAGCTGGGGAAGATCCAGGTACAGACCCCAGCGACCAAGGAGGAAAGCGCTCCCGGGTGAGGGGACCTGGCCGTTCACTGGGACCCAGCCGCTGAGTCCTCGGGGAACAGGCGCGCTGCTGCTGGCCGGTCTGCCCGCCCCATCCCCCAGGCGTCTCGCCTGCTTCTGCAGCCTCGATCCTTCCCTTCCCAGGTGACCGAGGAGACGAGCAGCATCCTCCAGGGCCTCGGATACTCCTGCGAATGCCGGGGCCTGATCAACGTCAAGGGCAAAGGGGAGCTGAGGACCTACTTTGTCTGCACAGACACAGCCAAGTGCCAGGGGCCCGGGCTGAACTGAGGGCTGCTGGGAGGGGCAGGACCTCCCCGATGCCAGCCAAACCCGTGGAAGATGCAGCCACAGTCACCAAGGCCGTCCGAGGTGCTGTGTGGGCCTCAGGAGCCTGCATGAGCGAACTTCTGGGGCACGTGTGCCAGCCCCAGCTTCAGGCAACCGCTGGGCCTGCCCACACCGGGCAGTCGGAACCCGTGCGCTGGTGTGGGGAACGCAGCCCCCCGCCCCAGGAAAAGGCTCCCGAGTTTCAGCTCCTCGTTCAGGTCCCTCTGCTGCTGGCCTGCTATGGTCTTGACTGACCCCCTTCATGGCCGGGAGCTGCCCAGCAACCTGTTTTCCAGGCACAGGACGGAGACAAGTAGTTGGCATGGGCTGGACGCCTTTCGCCCCAGCGACCAGCTACGGCTTCCATATTTCTCATCCAGGTGTTCTGGTGAATGGAGCTGGAAAGGGTGTTTCAAATGTATAGATGGTTTCAAACAGCGGAGAGAAAACCCCAGCGGACGTGGGTTACTTGCAGTCTCTGGCATGTTTCTTTAACACGTTAAGCGCCAGGCCTGTTTTGTCTTCCTTTCCGTTTAGCCCGCGATAGCCGATTGCACCGATATGCTGGCGGCACCAGTGACTGACTGGTCCAGACGGAAAGCAGTGTCACCCTCCCTTGTGCTTGGTGCAGACGGGGATGTGAGCTTGCCGTCAGGCCTCAGGTCTGGCCAGGCCCTGGAACTGTTGGCGCAGCAGCTGGACACGGGGTCAGAGTGCTCTGAGCTGAGTACAGAAGAGTTTGGGGTACGGGGGGCTGGACCCCAGCCTGCATGAGAGGACTAAGTGACTGACATGGCACTGAACGTGTTCAATGGCTGCGTTATCAATGAAGGTTTTGTCCTTTTAATGACTTATTTCCGAGACAAGCCTCTTCCCTCCAGGGTATCCTCTGCCTTTTAACCACCGGCACGCCAGCAGGACCACTGTCCAGGGTCAGCTCCAGGGCCACCCCGGCTGTGGGGATGCAGCTCTGTGGAAGGTGGCCCCCACTTGGACTCCAGCCTTCCGAGGTCAGGTTCAGTCAGCAAAAAGCCTGCACAGTAAGGCCAGCCACCTCAGCCCGCCTACTGGTGCATGTTGGCGCCGTCCCCTGCAAGCTTCGGCCGGAAGGAGAGGGGTTGGGGCGCCCAGCACCTCTGGGACCCTCGCCTGTCCTCTCCACATCCTGACGCTGAGGAGCTTCACGCCAGCGGGGGCACGTGGAGAGGTCCCCTGACCTGGTTGCGGAGATGTTCTTCTGACCGAATAAACCAAGGCAAGTGCAAAAAGCACCTATGAGCTTCGACTCACAGAACCCCAAGACCAGCCAGGCTCCACGGGGCAAGAACCGCCTGCCGCTCCTCATTCTGCACTGCCTGCCGCCTGGGCAGAGCTGCCGATCTAATGCAGGCGACTTATGACTGCAGGGACCCCCGGATCTAATGCAGGTGACGTCACTATCACAGGGACCCCCGGATCTAATGCAGGTGACGTCACTATCACATGGACCCCTGGATCTAATGCAGGTGACGTCACTATCACATGGACCCCTGGATCTAATGCAGGTGACGTCACTATCACATGGACCCCTGGATCTAAAGCAGGCGACTCAATACCACAGGGACCCCCGGATCTAATGCAGGTGACGTCACTACTGCAGGGACCACTGGATCTGATGCAGGGGATTTACGACCACAGGGACCCCCGATCTAATGCAGGCGACTCACTACCACAGGGACCCCCGGATCTAATGCAGGTGACGTCACTGGGCTATCGGTTAGTCACCCACAGACCCCTGGTATTAGGGAACTGCACAGAGACTCCAGGAAGAGGAGACAGGGTCGCAGGCAGGGCAACGTGCACAGGGTGCTGGTGGGCGCGCTGAGGTGTTGCATGTAACTGGAATGGTCTGAGTCGGCTACGGGAGCTGTGTGGCAGCGATGCTGGAAGGGAATAAGCCTTACGCGGCCTTTTTACCCACCAGTTCTTCATGTGAAGGGCTGGTTTCAGGTAAGTCCCGTGCTGCAGCCCATCCTCTTAGAGAGCCGCGTAAACATTAGGCTACAGGAGCTTAAAAAATACTTGGTTACCATGAATGTACGTCTGTGTGTTTACAATTAAAGCACTGTGCCCGGATGAGATGAGCTTTCGGTGTTCAGACAGGAGCGTGTAACTGACCAGGAAAGTCACTTGCAATTGTTCTATAAAAGTTTTCTCATTACGTCCCTCCTTCACACATGTCACTCTGTTTGAGACGGGACAGTCCCTCTTCTAACACTGACTAGGGAGCCCCACCCCCGAGGTTAATGTGAGAAACTTCCTAACAAGAGGAAGACCCTCACCCACTGCATGGGTGTGTGTAACAGGTCAACGTGCGGAAATACGCAACGAGGGGAGGGTGCTATGTACTGCGTGTGTACAGGTCTGCAGTGTGTTCAGAATGTTATGTTCATGTTCATAAAGTACCTGTGTTGCTACGTGTTCAGCCTTTCGTGTATTAAATGACCAGTACGGAGAGCCTGCATGGCCTCACTTCAGACGCTTTCTTGGCCTCAGGAACGGATCTTAGCGAAGGCAGGGCCCCAGGTCAGGCTGACGGCTGCCCGCGGCACCGGGGCAGGAGCAGCCGCACTCTGGTCTCCCGAGGACTCTGCCCAGTTGGCTCCACCCTCTTTGCAAAAAAGCTCCGGTGGCAACAGGCCAGAGCCACGTGCCTTTCATCAGGCCCCTTTAAATGCCCAGGTGCCCCCTGATCAGGTAGGAAGGATGTGGTTCTAGTTTAAAAGGGACCGCGGAACTGAGGGGCTGTAAGGATTTGGAGGGCTTGCTTCCCCTAACGGATGGTCACGAAAGAGGCCGTTTTCTCCCTCACGTTATCAGAAAGGTCAGGGATCACTGAGCTGACATGCACCGTCCAGTTCATAGTCCCAGGGTTCAGCTCTTACCCAACAGAAGGCCAGTCTCTGGAACATTATATTAATTGTTCCAAAGTTTAATTAAAAACACAATTTACAAATATTTAATATCTTCTGAAAAGCATTTCCAAATTAATCAAAAAATATGTACATAATATATAATCAAATACCGGTCAGCTTTGACTCCCATCAGGGCCACACTCAGCAACATCCGTCTTTTTAGCTTCTTCAAAATCTGAAAGAAAAAAATGCCACTTAATTTAGCATATTTTCCCTTTTGATGCAAAAAGGAACGTGACGGAAAGGCAGTGTCCAGAGGTGCGGGCAGCCTTCCCACGGGCACTGGGTAGAGACGGGGCGTTATGTGATCACTGTAGCTCTTTCTGCAAAAGTGTCAAGCCTTCAACTTGTAAAATGGAGAGAACGAAGTACTTTACACACTAGCAACTCCCAGAGGGAGCACCTGTCAAAGGCCCCGCCCCCCTGACGTGGGCACACACCTCCTGTTAGATCCACCAGGCTGCTCCCCGCACCAGGGCGGGGCACGGAGATGCCCATCGCTTTCCGAACCCCGTACGTGCTGACGACGTCACCGGGAGTTACTTGCTGTGCAAGTTCTTTAAGGTTATTGGTCACCTGTTCGGCTAGAAAAAACAAACGAGAACTGTTCTAGGTCCTGAAATGTGGTTTCTTTAAAGAACAAGTGTATAAACGCAAAAACTGATACCCCTGGAGCTCCCACCGCCAGGGGACCTACCGAGGTGCAGCTCTCTGTACGAGGGGCCCAGGAGGCAGATGGTGTTGGGCGGGGGCCTGGTGCTCAGGCGCTCGTTCTGGGCGTCCTGCAGCTCCCGGAGCAGCCGGGTGGTCTCGTCCAGCTTCCTCTGGAACACCTCGGCCTCTGCGGGGACAGCACACACTGCAGAGGCCGCCCCGGGTTCCACCTCGAGCGGTAATCGGAGCCGCGTGCTCCGAGGCCCTGGGAGTACTGATTAATCTCCTCAAATGAGACCCCCACCACGAAGTGCTGCCCTGAGGCCTGCCCAGTGGTGGATGGTCGTTAGTGGTACCCTGGAGACCACCAGTCTTGACTGCCGTGCCAGGCAGCGCTCCCATCAACCCCCCCAGCCCCAGACACTCACCTTCAGAGTCAAAAACTTCGATGGGAGCGCCCAAGTTTGCCACCGCTTCCAGGGCCGCAAGCCTGTCCTGGCTGCCGGAGCCCACCCGCCCCGCTGGCTCCACTTCTGAGGCCTGCTGTGAAGAAAGGGAGGAATCACACGGGCTTCTAGGCCCCACCGCGCTGGAATGAGAAACCAGGAAGATGGCCCATCCGCAGCCCAGTTATTCCACCTGCTCCCGTGGCAGCTATAATCCGATGTCGTCCCCAAGCCTGGTACAGAAGTGTCCACACACCCACGCTGCTCGGTAGGGTGACGGAGTCTGTGCAATCCGCATCATTTGTCTTACCCGCCAGCGCTCAGAGCATGAACGTGACAACTGCCTGGGACTGCGAGATGGTGAAGACCGAGCCATGCCAGCCCGGGTCCGGCCACCTACGCTCCTGTAGGAGCTCTTGTACGTGAGGTACTTCCTGGTCTCCTCCAGGCCTCACTGCCAGGGGCCAGCACGGCACGGGAGAAATAAACCCCAGAAAGAGTGGAGTTTGAGCCTGGACTCACAAGCCTCAGTTTCTATAACCTCGGTGCTGCTATTAGGAACAGGTCACCAGATACACGTGACCCGAGGTGACGGTTCCAGTTAGATGGTGGTGTCGCACTCCAAGCTCCACCCCTGAACACCTGCTTTCTCCACCAGCACACGGGCTGCGGGTGTGGCCCTCACGCCCATCAGTCTCCTTACTGCTTCCCATTCCGGACTTCCTTCTTACACACGGCCTCGCTGGGCTCCTGCCCCGGGAAGGACACGTGTGCACACCACCCACACCTGCACCTGCCTCTACTCGATCTCCCACCTGCAGGTGTCTGTCCCGCAGTGAAAGGGCTTACTTACACTCTTTACAAACAAAGCTTCATCACTTAGGTCTTTCAGCTTAGTCTCCATTTAAACATTTTTCATAAAGAATAGAATCACCTCTGTTTCCTTGGCTGCGTCAAGGGTCCTGCTCTGGCCTTCATCTTCAGGTGATGACTGTGGGATAGAGACAAACAACTGTCCATTCCAAGGTGCAGGTAAAGGTAAGTAGCACACAACAGGAAAACGGAAGGATGTGGATTTGGGGAATAAAATGATATAGTTACTGGCATTTTGAGAGAATTTGTGAGTGAAGAGCACCCCCCACTAGTGACTTTGCGACGGGTAATTCTGGGCCTGATCCAAAAGCTGTGCACGTGCCCACGGTATGTGGTGAACAGCATCAGCGTCTAAGAGGAGCCTGTTCACCAGCAGGTCAGGCTGGTGAGAAACTAGGAGGAGCGCCGGGGCTGTCTTACGTAGCAGGCGATTCTCAGCAGAAGCTGCTGTGACTACATGCTAGAGACTGTGCCAGCTGCACAGCCCTAGTTCTCAGAACCACAGAGACAGACAAATGCCTCAGGACTCAAACCAGTAACGATGTCATCTTCCTGAAAGGTTGTGATTTATTTAATTACCAATTTTAAAAGATTATGAACAATGTGCCTTATATATAGCCTTTCCCTTGTTTTCTAGAATAAATTCTGAGAATACTAACGGTTGGATCAAAAAGCAGAGAAACTGTAAATCAGAAACTCTGCCACACTGGCCATTCGATTTTAGCTCAAGGCTATTTGCTGACAGAAAGGGCATCGGCAGACCAGCTAACTCGGCCCCAGAAGGACTGCTTGCTGGTCCTCATCTCGGAGCCAAGCCCTAAGTTGTCCCAGCTCATGACCTCTGTCCAGCCGACCTGGAGAGTTTACAGTGTTAGTAAGAGAGGGCGACTGGGACGTGGCTTCCTTCGTTGCTGGAGGCTCCACCAGCTCTATCCCTGAGGAGGCGGCGAAGGGCATTCCCTCCCGTTTCAGTCAGGGGTTCCCAGCAGCGAGCAGGGCTTCCCTGGTCAGGCGTCGGCACCAGCGACCCCTCCGCTGTGAACCCTCCTCACCAGATGCCACCCTCTGCCTCGGATCCCGGTGCCCGCATCACCGTTTCCCTTCATTGTCCTCCACCCGTGGTCCCCACCCGGGAGTGGAGCTCAGCTGTCACACTGGTTAAGCCCATGGTTTCATAACACCGATGACTAATGCCGGAACAATGAGAAATCTCCGTTCTCTGGGTGTATTCTTACCGCCTCTGACTCCTGCAGGCTTCTCGAATGCCCTCCTTTAGTCAGAACATCCAGTAAACTATCTGCCATGACGTATGGGTAATCCTGGCACGTGGCCAAAAACTCGTGGATGCTGAAAGAGAGCATGCTGGGACAGTCACTGCCACAGAATCATCTCCACGGGCTCAGTCTTCCTGTCAAGCCAACCGTTCCCACAGGTGCCTCACTGACACCACGTGCCAGACTCACCACCTCGTCAACGCTGTTTACATACTCACCAGCGATCATCATCGAGACAGAATGAAACGCTCGCTAACACAGTGAAATGAAACGCAAACCCAGCTCAGTGATGGACGCCCTCGCTCAGCGGCGAACTCCGCGCCCCTCCCCTAGCTCCCTGGGGTGAATGCCTCCCACAAGCCGGACCCCACCCTTCAGACCCACGCCTCAGATCAGCTTCAGGAAAACGTGGCGTTCAGAACACCGAGCCGACACTTGCCTGAAGTCGCTGGGAACGTCACAGTCGTCCTCCCCGTAGGCGGAGTAGATGAGATCAGAGTCGTCCTTGCTGATGTTGGCGAACGTGGAGTCGTAGTGCGGGGCGTACGAGCTGTAGGGCCCGTAGTTCAGGTAGAGCACTACGGGCGAAGAGGGGAGACTTGAGCTCCTCTGGGACGTGGATGGCGGCTGTGTGCTTGCTTTAGCAGCACCACTCCCTTCTAACTTTACTGCTTCATCGACTGGCACACAAACCTAAGGCAGCCATTTCCCCCAAACAGATGCTTATGAAGTAGCAACACAAGTGAGTGTTTCCCCACAAAGGGGAGAGGAAATAAATAAAACGCACTTTGAAGACTAATACACCATTTTTCAGTCTCTTCTGAAGTTAGTAACGAAGTAAAGTTGCAAAAATACCAGCAAAGAATGTATGAACATGGCAATAATGGTGACTGTCCCGAGTGGGCGCCTTACCCGGAGCTACTTTGTTCCTTTTATCCTCCTTGAACCCCTGCAGAGTATTCACTCCAGACTGAAGCCGCCCAGTGGTCATGCCCAGCCTCACCGGGCAGTAGCCGGGCTCTGAAACAGAAGACGGGCACAGTAAGGCGGGGCTGTGGCGGCAGGCGAGTGGCACTCTGTGCATCTACGTGCCTGGGAGAGGTGGGAGCCCTCACTACCTCCGATTTTAACATAAAACCTGAGCTTAGAAAGGCAGGCAGGTGGCCAGGACCCACACCCGGTCCTCCTAGCACACCAGACAGCTTCCTGGAATTCTTACAGTCGTGTTGCGTGATGCTGGAAAGAAAGATGGAGAAGTTGGGCCTTAAGGTTATGATGGAAGCAAGCAGCCCAGAAGGAA